ATGTAAATATAATTTTTCATTTAAGTTAAAAAAACTTCAATGAAAGCTTTTCCGGCATCTAACCTCTAAATGCAATAGAAAGGGTAGTTTTAAATTATATGTTTTGTCTTCAGCGTAGTTATATACATTGTTTTTGCTCTAATCACATTCCGTCAAAAAGGAACAATGAAGGATAAATCAATGAAAAATGACTCCTTTCAACCAATTTTGCAGAGAAGCTTTTAAAAATCATTAACGTTATTTGGAATTGATATAGTCCCGTTACCATCTTAATTTACTCGAAGTTTAACCGATTCTATATTGCGTTTTCCCGGTAATGTTTAAGATAACAATACCAAATGGATCTTCAATTTGGCTCTTCAAGTGGACTTAATCCTTAGCTTAATACCACCCTTAGCTTCGTTGAATGCTGTTCCATACTCCTGTCCATAGCTCGGAGGATGGCTTCACCTTGAGAGGGGAGACACATAGCCTGTAACAGCTACAGGTGCGTATATCATAGTTGCAATTGGTTTGTTATCTGGCAGCCGGCGGGGGCACAAACAGAGTTAGCGGAGGTCGATTATTAAAACGTTATCTGGGACAATAACATAGAGCCAGTATTAGCAGAGCACTCGTCCTATCTGGGATTAAAAAGGAAGATAAAGGGCCTAGTTATCGGGAGCACCTGCTGGGCATATGTCACCGCGTCCGACCACTCCACTCGCTACCGGCTGTAAATAGAGAATTAATTGTCCTCCTATATCTACACCACTAATTGTGTTTAGTGTACAGATAGCACAAATGGAAACAGATCATATCTATCTTTTGTTTAGTGTTCTGTCTTGGGATCAATTACACTGGTAGGGAGGTATATTTTTTTTCCCCGACAAAAATGGATCGAGTATGAATAGATCAATTATTGGCAGAGTAAAGAATTTTAAGGGATAAGCGCCATTGCTAAACTTCCTTAGTGTAGCAAGTGTAAAGTTGCACTCGGTAGTATTTTTTATCTTTTCAGTGGCACCAATACGTATACATATACATATGTTATGTAAAATTAGGGTCCATCTAGGATATTAGAAAAAAACGGTTTTCGGACTCTTCATGCATCGTTTTCAAACGTTCATATCTCCGCATCTATAAATGCTAGAAAGCAATAATTGATACAATTATTTAAAGGTTCTCTGCTAACAACTTGTAGGTCAATTTATATAGCTTATTTATTAAGCATCCACGCCTAATAACACACTATTGCAAACACACGTATTGTCATAGTGGAATGGGAGAGTGGAATATATTAATAAATAAATATATCTTATTTATAAAACCCTTAAAAATGTTTAAAATAAGCTATGCTGAAAACTAAATAATAAGGATTTACAATACTCAAAGTAAGAGGAGAGTGTTATAGTGTATAGGCAGCAGAGTCTTATTTTTTTTATCCTATGTTCACAATACTTAAGGTTTTCGATTATAGAAGGACATATCTGTAATCGATGGAAGATTCGTCTGCACTAAAAGCTAGTATATTGCAGATATCTGAACTGAAAAAAAAAGAAGAAAAAACCTGAAATTTCTACTCACATGACTTTCCACATAGTTTTGGACTACATGTCCATAAAAAAATGTTTGCATTATTTTTTCTTTATGTTTAGCTTTCTATAAAGTTCTATACCTTTTTATCTATAACCTTAAATTTTCCGAGAGTTTTTGAATCACTCGAAATTCTAAAAATTCAAAACAAATTTTGAATCATTTTTAGGAATTTCATTGTAACATATCTTTACTAATACTAGTCCGATTTAGATGATTTCTCTTTTGCTATGTATATAATTTAATTCTTTTTCAGCAGATTATATTTATTATTTTCCATAAATTTTTTTTTTTTTGTGAAAATAAAGAATATTGAACAGAATATTTCAGGCTAATTTCTTCAAAATTGTTGCGTTTGTTAGTGTAGTATAAACTATAAAAAACAGCTTTTTCTAGGGAAATCAATTGAAGAAATTCGTTCTTGGGTATAAGGGATAATCTTAGCGTATACCGATAACTGAAAAATGAATTTCATTGAACTAATGTAGGCCCTAAAACTCAAAAGTTCCTTTGCGAACCGGATTCTTAAGATTTTATTCTATTAATTTCTTTACGTTACCCTTCTTACTTAATTTTAAGCATAGCACAAGTGGTTTCAAGTTTCAATTTCGTTGCTATTGATGCTTGTTGGGATTTGATAGATTGGTTACTGTAAGAAATCCCCAAGTGTATTATCTTAGAATAGATGCTTCACCTTGCACCGCGAGTTCTCCCATTATTCCGTTGCTCATCGCTCCGGGTTCTCTTTCGCAACGCTGCTTTGGTGACTCCTGACACTAGACGAAGAGTAGAATTGATGATAAGGGCGCGGGTTACAGCCCCACACTGGATGACCATTGACAAATGCCCCAGCTCTCGCTTTACAGCTCATCAGCAAGCCCTTGTTAGGGCGGTCGCTAATGAAGTAAGCCGAGAATCCTAGATTAATTACCGCATTTCTAAGTCGCTCTCTGGAGGCGAGTCCTCTAATCTTCCAAAGTCCTCTAATTGCCGACATCGCGGTCGCTGTAATTATTCTTGCCTGTGTAATTTATACCCACAAGGCCCTCAAATTATTTCGGTTTTCATATGAAAATTGTTATTGAGGTTGCCGAGATTCGGATGTTTTCGCCTTGATTGCGTTGACTCAGTTCAGAACTAAGGTTAGCATGTTTCTTTCTAAGCATCCTTTTTGTAAGCGAACAATACAACGAATTCTATTTAATGACATGAGTCTAAAACTTACGATAAGTATGGTAAATTTCCAATCTGAAAACTCTATAAAAATCCTATTTTTGGACATTCAATTGAAATTGGCAACAAAAATGTATGTGTAAAGTTGCACTTAGTAGTATTTTTATCATTTCAGAGGTACCAATACATATACATACACATATACATGTATTATGTAAAATTAAGATCCATCCAAAGTTAGTATCCTAGGATTTGATCCTAGGATCAAAATTAGGATATTAGAGCAAAACGATTTTCGACTCTTTACGCATCATTTTCAAACGATCATATCTCCACATATATAAATGCTAGAAAACAATAATTGATTAAATTTAAAAGAGGAAATACTGCACTATAGATAATACAATACTTTTATGATTTAAACTTCAGCCGAAAATAGAGACTGAAGTAGACAAATTTTTACTGTAAGTTCATGGGTCAAATATTGCTACTATTTGTCATACATTTTTATGTGTAAGGCTTTTACAACAAATATCTTGTTAGTAGTCATACCAACAGTTAGTTACTTTTCTGTCATTTTCACTATTGTTTTTATAAACTGACTTCCAACAAATTGGCATTCTAAGCATTTCTATACTTTTTAAACCCAATAGGTATTCAGTTAACACAGCCGTTGTCAATTTTTTAAATTTGATTATTGAAACTTACATAAATTCACATAAATGGTAGTCTCCTATAATAAAAACTAGAAAGGAAAATAATTTTCTTTTCACATTTTTTATGTTCGGTGCCATTTTATTGTGTTTTTACTTAAAAGATTTAGACCAAAGATCACCAATACAAATATCTACGAAAAATTGCATGCTGTAATGGAGCCCTAAATGTTAATTCTTTTCGCCAAAATATGCCAGATTACTATTTTGAAGATTTTTATGATAAATTAGGTGAGGGTGTGCTTAGAAAATTTTTATGCTGTCTTCTATTAGAATAACAAGTTATTTACATCTCCAGTCAATAAATCACCTAACAGATATGTTCTATTATATAGTAAGCAGAATTTTATTAAAGGATGTCAGAGGACAATATAGCGCTGTTTTAGTTGACTTAGTTCTGAGTAGTGTTGCCCGAATGCGAGACCGAGACGAGTCTTGGTCTTGCAAACTCAGTCTTAGTCATGGTTTGTGGTCTTGCGCAAGAGTCTCGCAGCAGTCTTGCAGTTACTCATCAGCTTATTACTACAGAGATATTACTATAATTTTTTAGACAGGAGAAACCTAACTAAGTACGAATGAAAAATTAGAGCAGTTAAATGCAAAAGTATATTGGTTATACCAATTATTAACATTTAGTAACTAGGATTGTCAAACATTAGCAACTATTTTGCCTTAATTTTTATTTTAAAAAATCGATTTTTTTTAGCAGTCCGGGTTCTGGTCTTGCAACAGTTAGGCGGCCTTGGTCTTGGTCTTGCAAAGTTAATTCAACCATACTAAAAAAGTTAATAGATGTAACAATTAACGCATCGTCTGCTTGATCTATCCTTTCATACATCTTCTGCACTGATTACCTTACTAGTGGTTTTTCGTTACCCCAAAAAAATCTGCACCCGTTTGAAACTTCAATTATTTAACTAAAAGGTGCATATCCTACGACTTAGTATGTTGCTTTCGAACACTTTAAGTTGTTGCTTTTCATAAATAAAAGTATAATCATACTCCATTCATAAACTCATAGACATAATATATTCATATATTAGTAAAATAATATGTTATACATCGTTAGCCGAGTGAAGGCTCCCACAGGACAAGACGGACAGCTTGATTATAGTTTGAATATTGTTACAATTAGTATTCAGCTTCATCGCTAGCTTTCATCGCTGCGTTTAGGAACAAATTATCCGTGTGAACATCGCAACTCGTCTGCGAAAAGTAATTGAAACGAATTAAAATGGAGGAATGAAAAACTTTAATTGGTGAAAATAGGAACCTAATGAGACCAGCTGCTTCGTTAAACGAGTCGGGAAAGTCCGGATTTTCCTTGTCTTTGATAAGCGTTAAAGTCCCTCAGTGTCATTAGAGTTCAAGTATTTATAGTATCTCTTATTTAAGATTCTATCGATTTAACCTACTCCATCGAGTGATATTAATTCACTTCTTGAAGCGGGAAATCAGGTCGTATTAAATTGTGCGTTGAATAGTATTTGCATATCGAACGGTATTTCCTATACGGTAATGATTAATTACTCTATGGCAATGGAACATGAAACTCGGTACTTAGGTATTAGTGTGGAATAACACAGATACTATTCATTGCCGTGATAAGCTACCGAAGGGACAGACGTGCATAAATCAGTAATGTCAATATTAATGATTGAGATTAATCAAACAAGGATATCATACTCCAACCGATAACAGTGCAGGTTATTAAAGAAAATATTGATCGTAAGATATACATATATAATTATCAATAATTCCATACTTACGTATGATATCAGGTAGTAACGATTTTTTTTTTCAATCTTGTTTCTTTGTAAATTATGCAAATTCCTGTCTACAAGAGGTTAGATAATGTGTTTTTTTTTCATTAAATTATGGTCGTGTGTGTTACATACAATACATACAAAAACATAATTATGATCGTCATCTTTTTAAATGATAAAATATTTTTTAACTATTTCCTTAATGTAATTTAATTGAAATAATAATTTTAAAGAACATTTAATAGCGAGCTTTTTATTTCCACATTTGTTTTTTTAATTTCTTGGTTATATAACTAACTCGTCATTTCATCTTTTCCCGGTCGTTTTGAGTTCTTCGCCTTCCTTCTGCTAAAAGGAAATGATGAACTTAGTTGGATACTCTTATGTAATTATTTATATTATATATATATATATATATATGTATATATATAAATGGATGACAAAATATGAGGGAAACATGCAGGAAATAAATGAAAGTTCATTAAATAATCAAGAGCCAGAAACATTCTAAAAAAGATTAACTTTTTTAAAAATAGATATATAACTTTTTTTTAAAATTTATTAATATATATATTAATAATAATAATTAATATATATATATATATATATATATATATATATATATATATATATAAATGGATGACAAAATATGAGGGAAATAAATGAAAGTTCATTAAATAATCAAGAGCCAGAAACATTCTACAAAAGATTAACTTTTTAAAAAATAGATATATAACTTTTTTTTTAATTTTATTTATTGAATAATATAACATTCTGTCACTTGGACAATTATTACAGGGAATTAAGAACACATTCGTACTACATGTACAAAAAAAAAAAAAAAAACAGAAGCTAAATTAAAGACTAATAAGTTAAATTAAGAATAATAATCAATAAGTATGTAAGTAAAAAAAAAAAAAACTGTGATTTCTATTACAACTGGAGAAATTTCTTTTAAACAAATCTTTTTTTTATTTTTCGATTTAAATTTATTTTATTGGATAACTCTGAACACAAACACTTTATCATGTTTGATTCCATATTAAATAATATATTTGTTATATTTTTTTATTTAAAAATTAATTTTTAAAAAAGAGTTATAAATGACTACTTTTTAGCAAATATACAATCTACTCTGTGGTACAGACCCCTTTATATCGAATTATTATCATCAGCCTGAAACTTCGTAAATAGTTTCATATCATCGTAACCTACAACTATTTTATTTACGAAAACTCTTGGAATTGTGGCGTTTTCAATCTGGATGGGGGACAAACTTTGTCTATTTAATTGGGTACTTAATACTCGCAAATACCCATTCGCGTTCTATTTGGATAGTAAGATAAATTGATCACAAAATTGATAAAAAAGGTGGTCTACAAAAATATTGGGCCCTTTGTCCTATAACCTCGTCTTATTGAAAATTTGGAGGTGTGGGTCACGCCAAACGGCTCAATATTTTTGAATGCTAGCTTTTTTCTAGACTTCGTGATCAAATTATCTTACGATCCCAGTACAAAACAAATCTGTATTAACGAGTTTTCAGCACCTAATTAAATAGAAAAAGTTTGCTCCTCTCCGGGCTGAAAACGCCCCGATTCCAAGAGTGTTCGTAAATAAAATATTTATAGGTTATTATCAGATGAAGCTATTTGCTATATGAAGTTTCAGTCGGATGTTAACAATTCGAAAAAAGGGGTCGGTACCACGGACTATTCGTTTTTTAAATTTAAATAAACTGTTTTTTTTGATCGATCTTGAAATCAAGAATTATATCTATTTTCATAAAAACAAGGAATATTATCAAGGTTACAGATTATTAAAATAAAGTATTTTTTTTTTTTTGTTTACCACATGCGGGTTTAGAATCGTGTAAACAATGATAGAATTAAAATAATCACACATAAGTGGTACCTTTTGATTTATTACACCTTGACTTGTCAGTAGCATTGCAATGTATCATTTACATTTTTTATTCCTAACCGATTAAGTTGCTGCGAGTTAGGTAAAACTTACTGAAATGTTAACTGGTGAATCGAGGATAAGGAAAAGCCAAAGCATTCTGGCCTGCACGTAGCCTAGCATTATGGAAATTATAGGAATGAAACCAGGCGATTGTCTGCTATTAGTGAAGTGTAGCGTTTTGAATAATGGCAAAACACCATCCTTGGAATAATAAGGCAAATATCGTTTCTATATCGGCAATTGATAATTATTTCCTTATACTTTTACCATATTATTCCTTTTAATTTTGCCTATTATTTCTTTTAGCTACTTTAGTTCGTTTAAATTAATTGTAATTTATTTTCACCAAACGACTAAACAAGGGCTGATAAAGTATAGTTTATACTAAACAGTATTTTAAAATAATAAGTTAATAAAAAGTTATCTCAAAATTTTCTTCAATGTAGATTTACTAATCAGTGAATCAAAAACAAGTTTTCGATACATTTCAACAGAGAAAACTTTATCCCAGTTTTTAGGTTTTAAATATATTTTAGAGCAATGGGGTTCCACTAAACCATCGAATTCCTCTCGTATCCAATCCTTACAATCCAAAATCCTTCGTAAAATCCTCAATGCTTCCTACTTTGTTACAAATAAAACCATCCAAAACGACCTTAATCTTTCTTACGTTTCAGATCTGGCCCGATCCAGATACCAATCCATAATAAACTTCAGAATCATCCCAACCCTCTCGTTTCTAACCTTGCTTCCTCGTCAATTCCTGATAACCCTTCGAGGCGTCTGAAAACAAGATGGTCCCGTGATCTCCTAATGTAGACATATTAATAGAGTGCTACCATTGGATAGTATTTCAACAAGTGTTTTCATGTCATTATATCCATATGTATAATGCATTTCTTTAACACAGTTGTAAATATCATTGAGAAATAAAAAAAGGAAAAAGAATATACATTAATTTTCATTTGCAAAAAACCTTATTACCTGACTTTACTTAGCAGAAATTCTGATATCTAAATAGTTTATTCCTCAAATATTTATTTCTGATAGTTTAAAGAAGCATGAGTCTTATCAATTAACATTAAAAAAAATGTATATAAATATCAAATATTTAAAAATATTGGATTAATCCATCAAATTTATAACATGTGTAGCCAATTTATTAAATGCGCCTATATTCTTTCTATAAATTAGTAAGTAATAAGTAGTAAATATATTGCTTATTGTTTTTCTGAGTGAGTAAAAATAAGCACGGAAAGTAAAAAAAAAAAAATATTAATATGGATTTATTTCTTCACCACATTGTTTTTATATTTCGCAAAATTGACGAAATATCATCAAGGACTGAAAGATTAAAGCTGTTTTTTATCACAATAAAATATTATTCTTTATTTTTTGCTTAATTGTATTCATTTTGCTTCCTTCATATTATTGCCTAACCCAATAAGCTATATTGTGCTTTGAATGTTTTATTTATTTTTTGAACAGAAACGTCGCATTAAATTTCCATTTGCTTTTTAAATTCGATTTTCCGTTTAATACCTGAATCATTAAAAAATATGTTTTACTCATGTTTGTATATTATGTGCGTTAGTTACTTTCTGTTAAATTCTATGCGGATTTGCATCTTCAAGTAGCTATTTAAGGTAGTAATTGGATTAATAATTTAAACATTTAAATACTATTAAATATTTTTATTTTATCTTGTTTTGGAGGGGACAGTGTAGGTTTTATTTATCATTATTAATTTCATATTATTGGAGCTTAAACTCATAATAATAAAAACTGGGCGTGCTTATATCTCAACGTAATTGCAATGGTACCGTTGGAACTACTAATATATTCTAACTTCCCGAACATGCTCTTAACCCAATTGTACTGACATTTTTTCCTTTCTGTTTTATGCCTGTATCTCTTAATGTATCTCTCTTTTCGTCTGGAAGAGCAATAATTTGAATAAAGCTGACAGGGGCGTCCGCTTGATCTAGATAAGAGAGATACTTCCGGCTGATCCATGTGTTGGCAGGCCTGATAATATCTTGAATATTCCCTTTGGTACACCATATCCGATAAATTTTTCATTTGTTATGACCATCAATTATAGTTCGCATATGAATCATCCGTCTGCTGCGTCATGTGCTGTCGAATTTTCGGATGATACTCAACGGCACACGACTTTGAAAGAATACTTGCTGAAATATTATTTTGTTATTAATATTTGTTATAAATTATTGTTTATTAATTAATTACTTCCTTTTGATATGAAAATTAATTTTGAAATTTCTTTTCAGACTGCGGGAAGAAAGGGGAGAAACAGAAAGAGCTCTTGCGCTCGATCAGAAACCAAGAGACCTCAGTTCACACAACGGTAAGTAAATTTTTTTTTATTCAAAAATTTTATTTATGAGGATGACATATAATCAGGATTTACTGTCTATATATGGTTTATTATGTTTTCAACCAAGTATATCAATAGGGCTTAAAAAAAAAAAAAAAGGTAGATATAAATTGAAATATTCAAATAAGGTAAGACAAAGATATGGAAAGTACACAGAAGATAATGGTAATATAAACACTGTAATAATATAATCCTAATAGCACGACAGAAAAAAAAAAATAAAAATTATCAGTGTATAAATAGTGCAAATAAATTAACTAAATTATTAGCACAAATAAATAGAAATTATTAGTGTATAAACAGTGCAAATAAATTAACTAAATTATTAGTACAAATAAATAAAAATTATTAGTGTATAAACAGTGCAAATAAATTAACTAAATTATTAGTACAAATAAATAGAAATTATTAGTGTATAAACAGTGCAAATAAATTAACTAAATTATTAGTACAAATAAATAAAAATTATTAGTGTATAAATAGTGCAAATAAATTAACTAAATTATTAGTACAAATAAATAAAAATTATTAGTGTATAAATAGTGCAAATGAATTAACTAAATTATTAGTACAAATAAATAAAAATTATTAGTGTATAAATAGTGCAAATAAATTAACGAAATTATTAATACAAATAAATAAAAATTATTAGTGTATAAATAGTGCAAATGAATTAACTAAATTATTAGTACAAATAAATAAAAATTATTAGTGTATAAATAGTGCAAATAAATTTACTAAATTATTAGTATAAATAAATAAAAATTATTAGTGTATAAATAGTGCAAATAAATTAACTAATTTATTAGTACAAATAAATAAAAATTATTAGTGTATAAATAGTGCAAATAAATTAACTAAATTATTAGTACAAATAAATAAAAATTATTAGTGTATAAATAGTGCAAATAAATTAACTAAATTATTAGTAGCAATAAATAAAAATTATTAGTGTATAAATAGTGCAAATGAATTAACTAAATTATTAGTACAAAAAAATAAAAATTATTAGTGTATAAATAGTGCAAATTAATTTACTAAATTATTAGTATAAATAAATAAAAATTATTAGTGTATAAATAGTGCAAATAAATTAACTAATTTATTAGTACAAATAAATAAAAAATATTAGTGTATAAATAGTGCAAATAAATTAACTAAATTATTAATACTAATAAATAAAAATTATTAGTGTATAAATAGTGCAAAGAAATTAACTAAATTATTAGTACTAATAAATAAAAATTATGCGTAAATCATGACTAAAAATAAATAAGGTTAATTTTTTCAAATTAATTTTTAATCAATTTGTTTATTACATATTGTTAATTATTTTTGAATAATTTTTTTTTATTATTAAAAATAATTGGAATTAAAAAAGCAACGTTATACGGTAAGGTATAGTAACTATAAATAGAAATATGAGTCAGTGTATCTAACAACAGATGGAATCAAAAGTATAAACATAAGAATAAAAATAGAATACTAGCTCAGCATAATAGCTAATTGGTAATACAATGGTTCATTAATAGTCAGTTTTCGCTGCTAGACTCATTTTTAATTTATACCATATCCTTCTATTTTTCTGGATTAATTTTTTAAATTTTTATCACTGATGATGACCCACACTCTTTTGCCAATAGGTCGTGAAGCCTTACAAACCGGATAAGAACTGCAAATCCTGATTGTCTGTTATACTCATAATTTTAAAATAACAGCAAAATTTTTAATACAATAGAATTTCGAAGTAATTTGTTATTTACTCAACTATGTTATTAATTTTTTCTTTCCTGGACAGGTTCCTCGACGGGGCAGAGCCCTGTACTCAACCTCTCCAAGTCCAACTGCGAAGCCAGCGGGAGTGAGGGAGGAGGAACAGGTCCCGAAGACGAAGATGAGGAGGACGAAGGAGGGGAAAGCGACCAGGACGATGTGTCGGACAAAGAGCAAGGTGTGTTACTGCTGTCACTACTTTTACACTTATAATAGAAATATAAAAATAATTAAACCGAAATGCTTATTTTTATAAATTATCTTCGGTGTAACTTAAGACTCTCAAACATTATATCTATGGTCTCTGGCCATAACTAGTTAAGTAAAAAAATGATCCTCACGAGTTATGTGAATTTAAACCATCTTCTAAGCCTTCTAAAGACCGTGAAGAAGTTGGTAACTCACAGTAATAAAAATTTTAGAGGACTAGACGAGAACTTCTTCAGAGTGTTAAGAACGGTCGAAAGATGATTTCAATTTGCAGAACTCTTGAAGACCATTTTTCGGCTTCACTAGTTTTGTCCAGAGACTATAGATGCCTTTATATTTTTTTATACTTTATTTCTTTCGTTTATTAAAAATAATTAATTCATTGTCTCATTTTGTGACGTATCAGGTTTTAAATCGATCTTCAGACAATTAATTGAAATTACATTTAATTGTTATTTCATTCTCACAATATGATGCAATTCGTTAATTATTTTTAATAAACGGTAAAATTTACCTCACGAAAATACCCGTGAATCGAATATGTAATCCTTCCTCATCAAAAACATATGAACAAATTTTTTGAATTATTATTTATTTATTTCTGTTTTCTTTTACTCTACCGTGGATCTATTTAAATACGATACTAAAATAAAGTACTAACAAACTTAACAGAAGTTTTGATGAACAATGATTTGAATTTTTAAAAAATAATCATGGATTCATGGCTTAAATTTAAATAAAGATTAAACTTTTTTTTCTCGATTCATTAATCCATTTTTCCATACTCACAATTTTTAAACATAGAAAAATTAAACTTGAATCCTTTAAAGTTGGGGATAAACTATATTTATTTGAATTTGTCATACAGATTAAGCTATTGTCATATTAAAAAACGCTGCAAATTATCACACATTGGTTAATTATTTCAAAAAAAAAATTAACGTAGAAACTAGAATTAATTTCAATGTAACGTTAAGGAAAATAAATAAAAAGGAATTTATTTCCTTTCGGAACATTGGCCTATATATTTTTCTTTGTTATAATTGATAACTTGTTTTAAAAAATAGACAACATTGCTACAGTTGATGTAAAATTTTTAAAAAATCAAAAACCAAAACAAAATATATATAAGCTTTGCAGTAAAATATATATAACATATTTAGAACACCATATATTTGCTCCAAATTGTCCGATTTCAACGATTTTATTTTTTTATCAAAATTAGTAAAATTTTAAATAACCAGTGGATCAACAAAAAAATGTATACTTTTTGAGTTATTCGGAAATCCAATCTGACCCTCCTCCAGCTTCTTATTTTCGTTGAAGTACATTATATAGATAAATTTAAAGGTCATCTAGGAGAAGACTGACCAAGTTTCATTGAAATTGGTACATTTGTTCAGGCGCTACAGCCTATACCAACACAGGTCTTTCGGCCGCCATATTGGAACAAAAGGGCGGATAGTAATGTCGAGGTAGCAGAAGTTTGTCCCCGGGTGACCTTTGACTTTTATTCCAAATTTGAAAAAAGTTGGTTACGTAAAAAAATTAGTATTCGATTCTACCTATCGTGAAAAGTAAAATTTAAAATTTTGAAGGGGGAGAATTAATTTTATATTTTTCGGACGATTACGATGGTTCGTTATTGAAAAAAATAATAAACCAAAAAAATGGGGTATAAAAATATTTAACTAAACTACAAACAATATATTCAACGTAATTATAATGTATATTCTAAATCATAAACGCAACGAGGGGTGAATAACTGATTGAAAATAAGAATAAATAAATATAAAAACATTATATATATATTAAAAAAATTAGCTTGACCGGTTTTATAAAAAGCGTTTAATAATAGCTCGTAACACGGGGCAGCTCCCGGATGATATTTCATTGTATCGGAGGATTTACAACCCGTCTCAGGATCTCGTGATTAAATGAAAATTATTTCAACTTATCTATTTCTAATTGAGTGGGGGGGGGGAGAGGGGAGGAGGCTTGAAGTTGACACCGTGGAAAAACCTCTATAATTTAGCGTCCAATGGGAAAATAAAGGAAACATAACCGCCAACTAGTTATGAAACAGTACAGGATAAGATTTATTGTTATTAACACGGGATTATGAGGAGCGTGGAGGGCCGAATAAAAAAAAGAAAAAAAAAAAGATATATATAAATTAAAATATTAATCCTCTGGTGGGGGGGGATACAGGATTGAGATATATTTAATCAGGCGTGATATAGGGGCCCTAGCGTGTGTGTCGCGTGGAAGATGATCTATGGCCGTCCGAGTTATGGCTCCTACTACTGCTTGCTACTGTCTGTCCGCGTATCCTTCCTTTACATTTGTAAAGGAAAATAAACTTGATCTTATAATTAATAAATATAAAATCGGTTATAATAAAAATTGGAAAACATATCGCCCCATTGGTAGAACAATGACGTAACTGCAAATCATACAATTGAGACGTTTATTTCCAACCAAACTAAACCAAAATCGATTTTTTAAATATCGAAATAACTCGAATTTTTAATACTCGAATTTCATATAAAAACTCTCAATGAATCTGATGGAGTGAAATGAAAATATGAATATATCTAAAAAAGTATTTTTTTTTAAATAGTGTGTTGTATGTGTGTTAGTATGTTGTTATAACATGGATTTCTTAAGTATTCTGAAAACAACATAATCTATGAAAAGCTTTTTAAGTGTTTTATTCAAATAAAAATTAAAAATTAAATTATTTTATCGTACCATAATTGTGAACAATAAGTTATTATTTCTGTACAATTTTTATAACTTTTCTTCTCCCTTTTCCAATCATTATTTCTTCCCAAACCAAACCCCAATATATATTTTTTTTTTGTTTAAAAAACGCACCTTGAAGTTTTTTCCAAATGTACTCCTTACAAATTTCAATAATTTTTAATTAATACTGAAATAATAAGAGAATTTCGGAAATATGTACTACAGATAAATAATTTCATAATTTATTACTTGAAAAATATTGGTTTTGGTAAAATATTATCTATGATGATAAGGATTCACTTTGAAAAGATACGATTCAATTAGGACAAAGAAAATAATTAGAATCATTATTATGCAAATATCATGACTTTTGAAATTAATTGTACCGCGATTGTAAAATTCTTCTTACCGGATAAAGCATACTCATATAAAGAAACATTATAATTATTTAATAATTTCATATCGAGCTTCAATCATGAATTTCTTTATTAATCAATCAGTTTTTTAAATTATTTAAAAAAAATCTTTTAGGCCTAGAAAAAATATCCATTAACTTAAATCTTTTTTTTTATTTTATTTTTAGTAATGCTTTTTACTTTTGATACTTTTTCTTTTGTTTTTTTTTTTACTTTTTTCACTCTTTATCTGAATTGAAAAAAAAAAATGTTCTTAAAAACTATGCTGCTTTCTATTCGAACTCTCTAAATAAAAATATAGCAATAAAAATTATATATTCTCTTTGACGCGAAAAAAAAAATCTTAAATTTTTATATATTTTTTATTATATTATTATTTATAACATATTATTTAAATAAGTAAATAAGGGTAATAAAATTATAGTGAAATTATATTGATATTACGTACTCATTAACCAACATTCTGCTATTCATATCCAATCAAATCGCATATCAAAGCACCGTTTAATTTTAAATTTATGGTGTGTTTTATCGGGCTTTAATCAATTGTTTTTCTTGTATCTTTTTTATACTACGTTATCACCTCTGCTCTCGAATGTCGCATTAGCATTTTTCCTCATTCACCAAGCAATAAAATAATACAAGAGGGACGACCTCAAGAATTCCGCATTTTCTTATTGCATGCTCGACTGCCGTTGTAACATAAATAAAAACTGAAATATAAAATAAAATACTGGAGTAAAATAAAAAAAAGGTGGACGTGAGAGCTGTGCCATTAATTGTGGAGCGGTGTCCTCGCTCGGACAAGGTACGAGCTACAACCCTTTTCAAAACAGATCCCACCACCTCCTCTTTCTCTTACATTAGTATACTATAAAGGCTTTTCTAGTATAGCCATTAATTCAGGATTTTTTTTGCTGATTTTGTTAATTCTTTCTACAGTTAGATATTATATATTTTAACATAATTATTTAATTGGTAATAAGGTCACTTAATAATTAAAACTACTAAATGTTCATTGCTTCTGTGTTTATTCGACGTTTCGATCCCGGTTTTTTATAAGTTAATAATGGGACCCTCTTCAAAGCCAGAACAACAAATAGCTCAATCGATTCACAATTATGCTTCCATATGTTTCAAATAACAATTATTTCAAAATTTAGCCTACTTTTAAAATAGAGCCTCAATACCTCAGGCCAGAGACTTATAATAATATAATAATAAATATAATACTCATAGGTTGATTGAAGAAATTTTGTAAATATATTATATATATATATATATATATATATATATATATATATATATATATAAGAAGTTAGTTCATTATACCCATATTTTTTCAAGAAATAGGCTTGTAAGACTGTCTACTAAAAGTGAAGAATTATACAAATGTTTCTCCCAGTTATTTACGCCAGAAAATGTAATTAATTGATACAAATTATCATTAGAATCCTCTATTATAGATCTTAAAATTCATCTGTGATACCAGGCATTTTTTATTCAAATAACCGAAATTAGGTAATTATCGAGAAAAAAAAACAACACAATATTTTAGAAGAATTTTATTTCAGATAGAATAGTACAAAAATGTAGAAGCTTTAGCTTCCTGTAACTTAACAAAAAAAAAAAAAAAAAAATCATAATTATTCACGAAAATTGTATAAACATTTAATTTTTCCCAGATTAGTATGGTACAGTATAGGTCGTGAAATATATAAGAAAAGTTGAAGTTATGAAATCAGAGTTGGATTTACAATTTTTTTTTAAATTATAAATAAATGATTTATTAACTTATTTGTCCTGTCAACGAACGAGTTGTTGAGTACAAAAAAATAAATAAATAAAAATAACCAATATAGTCAGGATTAAAATTTATCACAAACAATCACCAAATTTAGAAGACTATTTATATCTCCCATAAATTTTGACGCGTTGAAGAAAAATAATCAAAAATTCAGATACTTTTGATGAAAATGAAATTGTTTACAACTTTCTTCTGGTTAATTTTCGTGTAAAACTTGAGGTTAAATTAATTTATTCTCTGGATATTTTCGATTTATCTTAGTAAATATCTCGAGAATTATAACGAATACAAAAAAATAATCGTGAACCCTCTTAAAGGAAATTTTATCAGCTTCAATTTTGGATAGAACGCTTCTTTCTTTAAAACGCAACGTTGCAGAGATATAAGTAAAAAGGGGCCTTTATGGCGTCTCGATTATCAAGCGGCGGTTGTAGGAACGGGTACTTTTAGTATGTTTACTAAATTTCTCCTATTCTCAAAGTCAAATATTTTTCTCCTGACAGGCTTCAAAAGCTTAAAAAAAATAATGTTTTCTATTTTATGCTATATTTTATTTTATTAAGTATAACTACTTTATAGTATTAGAAGAATGTAATATAAATGTATTATTCCTGATGCAGACTCGGATGTTGCAGAGCTGTCGGACACGGGCGAAGGCGCACCATCCCCAGCCACTGCTTCGCCGCACGCCCTCAACTACTCCGCGGCACTCACGTCCGGGGGTCCCACACAACCCACCTCCGACCCGACCATCTCTTCCACGGAGACACTCCTCAGGAACATCCAGGGTCTCCTCAAGGTGGCAGCGGACAACGCGAGGCAGCAGGAGAGGCAGATCAACTACGAGAAAGGTAAGTCAACTATGACTTATTTCCAGCATATTAAAAAGTTTTTTTTATTATATTAATTTAAAAAAAAAATTGTTTATCGACATACCAAATATACAGCGAGCAATACCAACCACTTCCCGAAGAATCTGAAATCACATATACTACCTCCGGCGTTGCTGAAATTAAAATCCAGCCATTACACATCCGTGCCGATCGGAGTTACGGCGTTGTAAACCATCCAGGAAGATTACTGTGGCACTGAAGGGGAGAACACTTAGTAAAAAACAACAAAAAACGAATGCTGCGATGATCGTCGGAAGATCGTGAAGTGAACGCTCCCACTAATAACCACTAAATGCAGCCGCTGCACCACAAATCCCATCAATTACTTACCATCCGCCCCAATCTAATGCCACCATTAGTGAAAGATCACTCTAATAGTACTTCACAAATACCTACGGCGGGTTTCCCCCTCAGGCTGTTTGCCAAACCTCTTCAACTTGTACTGGACCATTTGAGCATTGCAACTTGATGATGATTGGAATGTTCATCCTTAACGACTGCTTACTCAATTTGGGGCTTATCATAAGGATATCATTAAACTTTAACTCAAATATTTCAAATAGCAAATGTATCGAATGCTGATTAGAAACGCATATTGTTGAAGTGTTGATCATATTCGGGTATTGACTTGGAAGAAAACAAGAATGGACTTTTTGTTCCTTGTAAGGATATAACTTCGAAGTATCAGAATATCAATTCATTACCATATTTTCCATTTATTTTGAATAACTCATAAAACGATCAACTTTGAAATTGTTTCTTATAACGCCAAATCTGTCCTTGACATTTTATGATCAAAATTACACAAAGCAACCTTTTTCCCATTGATGAGCATTGGGAATATTTCTGTGACATATTTTGTTTAATATTAATTTAAGAAAATAAATAACCTACTGTTCTAAATACTAATGAAATTACCTGAAAATCTAATTGATAAATATAATAATATTCAAACCATAGTTACAGCTAGTTTTGGATTTCATGATTTTTTATTTTTTAATTTTACTGTCATACTCATACCAGCTAGCAAGTTTAGATTTTTTAACCATGCTAACCATTTTAGTTTCTCTAACCATTCTAATTTATTTTAATTCTGTTTCATTTTTAGATTTCGTTGTTTTGTTTTTTGTCGTAAATTAATTTTTTTTTTATTAGGAAAGACAAATATAAAATATATTTTAACTATTTTCCCTATGGCGTATTAATTTAATTATTTCACCAAATTACTGAGGGATAATTTTGATTTAAATATTATTTAATGTTAAACATTTTATTATTATTATTTATTAGTTTTTGTTAATACAGATTGAGTTAATAAAGTCATAATATTTCTAAATATTCTTCTTAATATTATTTTAATACTACTTTATTCTATCGCTACAATAATTTTTTACATTCTTACTTAAAAAACAGGACAGAGCTCTTTGAATAACATCAACAACCTTGGAAAGTGTTATTAAACCTCAAATAACATTTATTTTTTTAATCTCTGATTTGGTTATTTTGAAAATGTTTGCCTTCAGCTATAGCTATTATAAATTATTTCCAACTCTCAGCCGTAATAAAACAAAGAAAAACAAGGGATTATCACTTGAATAGGGAATGTCCACGAGTTTAATTTATGAAATCAAAACTGAATTTATTTATTTAGCGGAGTGATTTATAAAATGACAACAGCAAATAAAAACAGATTAAGACAGAGCAGTGGGACCTGTGTTTATTATCAGTTTAGACAAGGCCTTATTAGCTTTATGGTGTGTAAATTTTTTTAATCATTTTTTTGTTTATCTCCGTTTCCACAGGTATCGTAAACCTATCACAAACGTTACACAGAGGTTTCTAGTACGTTGTTTTTAATACGAAAAAAAGAAATTTTCTTTAAAATTTTAGAATTCAAAAACGTTGTTATGTGTTAAATACCGTACCACATTTATTAATTCCTGTTATAATTAATTTTAATCTTTTAGTTTGTATGAAAATGTTTATATAAATATATATCTATTTTTATAAAAATATTAATTACTGTAAATTTCATAGGATTTTGTAAAAACTAATATTAAAAAGTTACAAATAATTGTTATAAGTTTTTTATATTTGTGATTTATGAGCTGTAATCCCACGAAATTTTATTTTGCTATCCGAAACCAAACAGTTAAACAGGAAATTCAGCCTATTTTAGACGAATTTTACAATGAAGTATTAAAAATGCTAAGAAATAAAACAATAAAAATATTATTTTACCTAACATTAAAAAAATAAAACACGACCCACGGTTATCTTAATATTTTTTATATCAATATTTATTTTTTATTTTTAATCTTACGCATATTAGAGCTATATATATCTAATTTGATGTTATTTTAAGGGAAAATAAGAAATATAAATTAAACATTATTGTAATACAATGGTTAAAACTTTAGAAAAATTTTAAAATATATATTTAAAAAAATAAATTTGATGACTTGAATAGCTCATCGTGCTAAGTAGATTTCCTCTATAAATTGGGATCATCAATTTTTCCTTATGTTTGGAATTATTATCTTGCGATTGGTTGTGGGTGTGAATCATATCAACTTTTAATAAAAATAATAATATTATAGCTAATCATATGTCATATTATTTTATTATATAAGTTATTGGAGTAAATCAAGATAGGGTTTTTCTTTTAATGACTGGAATAAGTGTTGGTGAGGAAACTGTTTTTCTCTCAGAGTACAAAATTTAATACATTTTTTTACATCCATTTTAATTTAACTTTTTTTAATTACTTTTTTTTTCATACTCAACATAAAACAAATAGTGTGTTATGTATGAACTTTCTGACTTTTACTCTGACTGAATTTAACACAAGGTTTTGATAGACTTCTGTAAGCAGTATGTTAGACAACCCGATTTGTATTATATATCTTAAGCATTTAATATTTGTTTTAATAATTATCATTACATTTTTTTTACATTACTTGCTTGTTGAATTTTTGAATCCTTTATTTCAGTTAAATGTGTTGGATTGGTATTGGAAGAGTTCCTTTAGTACCTTATTAGTTGGCGTTTACAGTAAGTTTTCTTCGAAAAATTTTGAGATACTTGATTTATAGTCCTGTTAGTTGAAAGACGTTATTTGAGTACGAATTCGTAGTTATTTCTTGAGCTATAACTTATTTGCAATTAATGAACACTATGCGTACTGCATTAGGCGTATGAAACTGCCCCTAGCTGTTTGCATACGAAGGTAACAAGACAAGGCTAGGTCTGTATATAGCCGGGCTGTTTATGGATACGACCGGAGGAGTGAAGACATTGTCCCGACGGAATGTAGCCAACCCCTGGAGGAGATACAGATCTCGCCGTAATTGAGACGTTACACGGTCCCAACCATGGCTTAATTACCACTCGGGTCGCGACCTGTCCTCACGATCCACAATTTACCCTTCCTCGTGTTCGACCAAGGGGGGCTCTTGTCCCTTTTCCCCTCTGGAGAAACTTCCAGGAGTCAGCGGTCGGAGGATTCGGAACAAGATGTGAAAGGGAGAACTTGCATATAAGGAAAGGAACTTGTTGAACTGTGAGATATCGGATCCCAACCAACTCTTTTATTATGCGCCTTTATTGATTGCAACAAGACATTTTCCAGAACGCTGATGATCAGCAGCGGCTTTCGGCAAGAAAGAATTTTTCATGGAAGAGGACGGCACCCAATAGTATATCTTTCTCGGGAGTATCTGTCTCCCATCTTTAATCACCTTATCAATTCACGGGAAGCCATATCTCGAGCTAGTTCGTCCATGTAAATCAGTATGAAATCTGTAGGTTTTTTTTAGTCACGTATCAAGGTGCTTTCGATGATTCGTAATATTTTCGACTGAGAAATATTTTTATATACTTCAATATCTTATAAACAAATATCGCATAAATCAATGTACTATTAATATTAATTTTTTATTGGATTAGACATATTGGGAAAATAATTTTCGTTTTATTACTAGGACTAATAATAATGCATATGACCCAGAGACAGACATAAAATATAAAATTGGGGTAAATAATCATTCCAGTTTCTAATATATGATATCAAGTAAAATTATAGCTATTTCTTATCAACTCAATAAATTTATCTGAATGTCTTACAAAATTTATGTTAAGTATACATAAATAAATAATAAAAAAAATCCATATAACTATAACTCATGAATGGTTTTGAATTCAGAAAGAACTGTTTTGGGATTAGCAGTTGTACCAGGTGATATTCGCATCCATGCTCAAAACCTTAATTTATCCTTCACATCAATTTATTCAAGGTCGAGGTACATTAGAGACTGGATGGGTTCCAGGAAGATGAAAAATTTAAATAAATTTTGTGCCACAGCTGAACCCGAACCTAGTCCATTTCCTTCTTACTTATTATTAGTTGGTTCCTTGTTACTATCAATAATTTAGACACAAATGAATGTATTTTAGATCCATGGAATTTGTAGTTATTATTGATTGTAATGGTGTCTTCGACTTAGTGCTATAAGTGAGTATCCAATCGTTTTAAGAAAGCTCAATCTGTACTAGTAAACCTATTCCAATAAATATTATCCAGCGAACCAATCACTCCGGGTCCTTAAATAACAGGATCGGAAAGAGACATTAGTGAAAATTATAATGTTCCACTTCGAATAGAGAGGAATCGTTTCTCCACAAAACGTGATCAATAGTATCGGAAACCCTTTTACGATTACAACTCTTTCGGTATCGAAAAGTGTACAGTGTAAATTTGGCATGAATACGTTCAATTACATAAGTATAGAGTGGAAAGAAATGGTGTAGCATTAGGGTCCAAATGAATAGGTCCCGATGTGTAAGACATGATTCCTAATAGATCACGTTAGTGGGAGAGTATAGGCCTCATCCTACGGTACGGCGGGCTCAGCGGGTACCTTACCGAAACCACAGCAACGGTTGATGTTGATGCCTTTGAACCGTTGATTGCCGGTTGTTGCCGCGCAACAAAAACTAATCCCTTGAATATTCAGGTCCTTGAGTAGACTAAATACAGACTCCCCGGTGCCTTAGGCCCCAGTCCCTTCCGTTAAACAACAAATTACAGAGTTAGACTCGTTCGGACACCGACTATCTCAAATATCCAGCTGCGTTCTCGTCTCTTCGCCCTTAATTATCTCATGCTCCAATTAAAATGTTAAACGTCACCGGTTTGAAGGGCGATTCGGTAAGAAAAAACAGAAAAAACAAACAAAAAATAGACTACAGTACTAATTATGAAATTGGATTATCGTAATTAAAGAATTATCGTAATTGTTGAATAATTTTATTATCTGGAATAAAAACCAAAAGTGTGAGGAATGGAATTCCTTCACTGAGGTTGGATTTTCCTCGTATTTTTGTTTTGTTGAAATAAAGATGAAAAGTGATTTGATATTGATTAGTTTGTTTTCTCACAATTTTTCATTATTTTCTGAATTCTATAATAATGATAATGGCGGGGTTAGGTGAAAAATATTGAGACTCCCTCCCCGCGTCACTCTTACAGCTGCCTCACTGGTACCAATGGAGGCTAAACTGAGGACCTTGACGGATTAGTTTTTTTTTTCTCTGCACTTTAGTGGTACATGCAGGGATTTGTATTTTTTCAATCATAACATCTAATTTCTATGTTTTGTTGAGTTTTTACTCGTTTAATATAATATAAAAAATAAGTATAAAACAATTTTATAAGGTAGATTTTTCACATCTGAATGATTTCCATTTCTCCTGACAAGAGGTACTAAATTTTTAAAATGCATTTATTGAACCTACATTTTAAATTAAAATTAATTTTAAATTTCTCTATTATTCACCTCTTGACTCAACATGACAAGGAAACGATTCCGCTTAACATTCCTGGAAGAAGCATACTATTAAAGGAGATGAAATTCTGGAGGATGGCGGTATCATTGCGAGGACGAACGCTTGATTAAACGTAGTCACGTTCCGAGCTCGGTTCCCTTGATTAGAGGCTCTTTGGACCTATTCAGTCCGACTTGGAACAGATTTCAGGGCGTTCTCCAAGGTCCATTTCTTATGTACCATGTCATATCCTATATATATATATATATATATATATATATATATATATATATATATATATATATATATATATATATATATAATTTTATTCAAAAATATTTTTTGGACATCGTCATAGCTCATATTATACAATACAGTTCAGTAAATTATAATTAAAGTTTATAATGTATACGGATATTAATAAAAAAAAAAATCTTTTCATTTAAGTCGAAGAAAAGTACCTTCATTAAAAAATCCTTTTATTTGTACTTTGTCATTGTTCTATGTATTGCAATTTTAATTTAATTTAATTTTCAGAATAAAATAAGAGTCATAGAGCATTTCCACTAAAAGTAAAATAAAAATCATATTTTTTTATTAATTTCTCTATTCATACCAGTCACGTATGGAAATAGTACGTAAAATAGGAGATAGTATCCTGTCTGGATAATATCTTGATTCACGAAAGGTCTCTCATTTAGTTCATTTTTACCCTAACGGACATATTAACCGCAACCATTTCGTTAATCTGTCTATTGTTGTTTCTTTCAACATCATTATGGAAACAGTAATAAATAGAACTTATTTATTGGTAGTTAGTTGCACGTTGGTTTAAGTTTTATAATTGCAGTTTATTAAGCTTATCTTTTCTTTTTTTTTTAACATTTCGCAGAATATAGTTCACGCTTTGCAGTATGGGCAAAACCGCCTTCATCTGATTCGAGAATGGTATATTCCTCAAAGATTTTTTCTTGTTTGATTTTGATCGTTCAGATTCGAAAAAATCGCACATCATCCTGAAAAAGCAGAGAAAAATATAAATAAAAAAAAATTATTTTCATATCGCCCATAAAGTATTAATTTTTATTGATTACATTGTAATGAAAGATAATTTGAGAAGGTTCCAAACCGAACCAATTTTTGCAAAGATACAACCGTTTGTTATTCATTTGTTGGTTTATTTTGGGAAAATTATTTCCTATCACTACATACATATTCTATACTTTTTCTACTCTAAATACATATTATTTTCTTATAAATAATCACAACTAGTCTTTGGTCACTATTTATTAATGAACGTTTCTGTTGATTAATGATATGCCCAAAAATTGGGTGTCATAGTTGGATTACAGCCATTTACAAAAATTATTAAAAACTGTGACTTTCTGGGCATATCATTTGCTGAAGAGGGGGACAAAGTTTCGCCGAAACGTTCATTACTAAATAGTGATTAAAGACTATTTGAGATCGTTTATTAAATTGACCTTAAGGCGAATAATTGTGAAAATATATTTTAATATTATTGTTTCAAGGGGAATTCCCATTTTAAATGGGAAAACAAAATATCACATCCTCATCATAGTTCATAATAAATTTGGAAGTATTTTTTTACTAAAGTATAAAGTTATTATTCATTACATTGTAATGAAAGATACTTTGAAAAGGTCCCAAACCGAACCAATTCTTGCAAAGATACAAACGTTTGTAATTTGTATTCATTTGTTTGTCTATTTAGGGAAAATTATTTCCTCCAACTACATACATATTCTTTACTTTTTCTACTCTAAATACATATTATTTTCTCATTTTAATTATTATATTACGTAGTTATTAACTGAGCAACAAATAATTTGTTCGCACGAGCCAACTAGGCAGTCACTTTACTACCTATTAATTTCACTTACTTATTTTATATAAATTGTCTTAATTCGGTTCAATACATGGTCTCTGAAAAAGCATCGACTTTAACATCATTGTAAGTGGGTACTTAAGTACCAGGGAGAACAAAGTTGGCCAAACAAGGATAGCAATTTGATGGAAACAATAAGAGGCAAGATGTTTTATGCGACATGCTGTTGCCCTCAGGTCATTAAGGAAAGCCACAAAAGGAAGGAGGATATTTAATTACCCAGAGCAGTATATTACCTGCCACTCGGTAGGAGTGGCCAATTTTATTATTGACTCAAACGTACAATGTTGTAAACAACTATGGATTGTTATTTACTAAGGCGGAGATATGTCAGAAACGAAGCGCCTCCAGAGCATGCAGACAGTTTACGACTTCGCTAACTGGGTTTCAGACATACTCAGACAATAGCCGTACTTCCCTACTATGTAATTACAGCCTGTCTACAGACATTCACTCTCGTCTTAAGACGTTTGTATTCCGAGTCTTGTATTCGCCAGGAAATTCGAATCCCATTTACGAAGCTGTGAGTCCGGGCCATCATAATATAAAAATTGTTGAATAATGTATTGCATGTGTCTTAGGCCGCGATGTGCAATGTGCAATTTGTTCCTTGGAGTGTAAAACGCTAGTGGAAATTTTCGATCGTGAGCTACAAATATTTGTTGACCTCTCGACCCTCTCCCTCCCACCTTCAGTTGTAAGGAAACAAAAGCATAAATTATTATGATGTAGAGATGGTTGACCGTTGATATAATATGAGAAGGAGTTAGTCGAGGGTGTGGTCGAATAAATAGAAAATTAAAATACATTAATTATTTTAATTTTTGCCGACGTTTTGACCCACTTTGCAGGTCGTCTTCAGGGCTACAATAGATACAAAACATGTTTTGTATTTTTTTTTTCAACATGTTTTGTATCTTTTGTAGCCCTGAAGACGACCTGCAAAGTGGGTTGAAACGTCGGCAAAAATTAAAATAATGAATATATTTTAATTTTCTATTTATTTGACCTCACCCTCGACTAACTCCTTCTCATAAATTATTATATTAATTTTCTATTGTAATATATAGAAATTATATTTTTTTTAGCAAATTCGATTCCCTATTTTTGTTTTCGGATGAGCTAACGTATTTTCATATCTACAGCTATACTTCAAAAATTGCTCACCCAATTTGACCCAAAATAAAACAAAAATTGTTAGTTTATTATATATCTAATTAAAATGGAGGAGTAGCTATACTAATTTTTTAGCCGGATTTTTTTTTTTATTTACGTATGTATTATATTTTAAATAAAAGGAATGACAATTTTTTTTGTTAACTTTTAGTGATAATTTTATTGACAGTAGGGAGGCAACACCCCCTTATTTTTTATTTGTCCTTATCCCTAATTTCTTAACATCTCACTTTCTCTTAGTATTCTAATTTAAAAAAAAATACTTAACGTTTTTAACTTAATATTTATTTAAATTAATAAACTTGTACCAACGATTGTGCACGCTCAATCGCCAGGTTTTCCTTCTTAATTAATTATTTAATGAAAAGGATCGACTTTTTAGAGGCTGGGTGTTCCCCAGGAAGGTCTCCTTATTCCAAGGACGACTCAGATGTAACATGATTAAAGAGAATAAATTATTATAAAATAAGGCTCGGTTTATTTTTTCCCCATATTTATTCTAATTTTTATAGCTGCGTTTCGGTAAGCAAAGCCATCTTCAAACAATATTTTTTCCCACTTGATTCAGACTTGGGCCTACATGCAAAAAGCATGGTTGGATAAAATGGCTTGAAGATGACTTACCGGCCGAAAGGTAGCTATGAAAATTAAAATAAATATGGTGAAAAATAAATAGAGCCTTATTTTATAATATTAGAAAATTTTCACTTAAAATATGCACATATAGAATAAATTGTTACTTTGCACAGGGTAAATCGAAAAATGGACCTTGAGCTTACGAGCACAGTGACTTACTCAGCTAACCTTCTTTAATCTTTAAATATTTAGAAGAAAAATATATTTCTGATTACTAAGAATAAAGGATCTGTAATTATCCATATTTCGTCTCTGCGCTTCTGGGTACATTAATCAAATTCAACATCTCAAGCTGTCTTAAGAATGTGACAATATCCATAAAAGAAAAATTATTTAACATAAATACAAATTTTCATGAGAACTTTTGTCATCACCATTATAGGATATGGGGCGTTCTTTGACGATGTTCCTTTTCGGGGTATGTCCGAGATAAAGAGTTGGTGCATGGTACACTTTATATGCAGGATACACCGAAGAAGA